GTACGGCGCTGTTTTAATTATCACCTTGCTTTGGTAAGGTTAACGGTTAATAAAAACAATAACTATACTCATGTTGATGAGTATAGTTATTGATTTTATTGCAACAAGCGACATGATAAAATCAACCGGCTGACTTATTAAATAGAGAGTGTTTTCCGAAGTCATGAAGTCGTAAGTTTACTATTTGTAGCAATCAAGTGCCAAGGCACCTTTTTTGTGTTATTATTTATAAAATTTTCCGAGAAACGTCCCACAATAACTATTATTTTACTATAATTTCAAGACCTCTTTCAGGTCCGACGGTAAATTTATTAAGAGTTTCTGAATTATGAACTCTTGTATCAATAATTGAGAATTGAAAAGCAATGAAAAGTCAAAAAGGAACATTAGGAAAGCGACTTTTGCGTTAGAGTATTATATGTGTAATTCTAACATTGAGTTTAAATAAATATTTTTCCTTTTCCCGTAGTAAAATAATCCTTTTTATTATATCATTTCTAAGCGCACATCGCTTTGAACGAAACCTCTTATTCTAATTTATTATAGATAATCTCCATAAAAGCTCACTAAAGGTTTTAAAATAACAGGGCAAATTTAAAATCATTATTTAGTATGAGGGCTACCAGTACTCTGCATCAAAGGGGAATCTCTCCAGTTAATAACGGAAGGTGAGGTAGAGATCTTTTTCGCTGCCGCTCTTGTAAAAAAATAATTTCCTACGTCATAGGGCGAGGGACGGCGGTGCGCGTACACCGTAGGGCAGACCCATTGTGTCTTATTGCCAACTATAGAATGCTAACATTTCCGTCGGCTGCGAAAGAAGTGTTAATCGCAACTTTCCAAATCATAAAGAGACGTTCGGAAACTTGCACAGACGTGCAATAAATAAGATTTTGTGCTAAAAACAATATTAACGATATGCACGTCTCAAAGGACCAATTTCTTCTTCAAAATTTTCATACTGATATATTGTTGTAGTTTTAATAAGACAAGCGCAGGATCGAATCAAACCAAATAGTCAACCACAGCGCCATGAAAAGTTAAATATTTACTATATTTAATAAATAATAATAATAATCTCATTTATTTCCACATTCCATATTTATACTTCGAATTGCAAAAAAATCCCTAAAGATTCCATTAATTCCATTCTTATAATTAAAATTTAAGCAACAAAATCGTTCACAACTACAAAACTGCAAATTTATTTCAAAAAACTTACTGAGAATTTATTTTTAAACCAATTTGACATGATTACGTAACTATGACGAATGACAATATCTGAACCGCCATTGGTATTGATATAAAAATGTCAAGGATTAACGGTAGCATCGTATCTGTACCCAATAATATATATTTTAAGGAAACCTTACATCGAGCATTTAAAAGCGAATTCAGGGAAGGTTAGGGAGACAACCCCAGACGTATTTTTTACCGAGGCGACAGCTCTAAAGCGGGGTCAATCAATCGATTAGCAGATGTCGCTTCTTGACTACTGATGCGCTAAATTGGCCTCTCACACCACCAGGGTATAACAAGGTACTAATCACGTCCATGAGGATCTCTCTTATATGCTTTAAGTTTTATAAAATAGACCTTTTCTGTTATTTTTTTTATTCAAACCGCAATGTACATACATTATAAATATATACCTTTTTTATTTCACCTCGAATATAAATAAATATACGTTGATATGACTCAAGGTTTGAAATTGGCCTTAAATTACAAACTCACTATTCATTCATTACTCGAGGGGACCATTTATTTTTAAATTTCTCAAAATGCGCAACGGATACATTTATTATAACATTTTCGAAAGTTGAACTTCTTCAGACCGACGACGCGTGCGTATCTATATTTTCTGTTCCTTAATAAAACTCAACAGACAAAAGACTATTCCAGTTCGAAATTTAAAAAAGAAGCAACTGGCCGCTTTCCCGAGCGTAACGCTGACACTGCCCACCGAGGCAAAAAGGTCCGAGCCCTCATTAAATTTTTCGCTTATTAAAAATTCCCCACGCCCGCCCGTCAACATTAGATAGGCAACTTTTTTTCCTGGAAAGAAACAAAAGTTATGTTCCGCGGGGCACCGAACTCCCCTCCGTCCTTTAGCTCGATAATTTGAGTGAGATTTTCTCGCAATTTAAGATAAACAAAGAGAGCGCTTACCCTTAATTGGAAAGCAGAGCGTTATTCAGGAAGGAACGTGACAAATAGACACCTCTTAACTTTTTCTCCACTTTACCGCCGCTCGAGGCTATATTGGTTTTTTCGGTGTCTGTGGACTTTCGCTTCTTTTAAGACATACTATGTGTAAGCAATGACTAATTATAAAAAGGGAGTAATTGTAAAAAGCTCTAATATGTAAGATATACCTGATAGGCAGTTCTTTTTTTTATGAGATTCGATAAGTGGCTGGTTTATCATCGTTAATTGCAATTCGAAATACGGAAAAGGGGTGAAGTGGAAAATCTGATAGAATCATAATCGTTCTAAAGTATAGTGTTTAACAGGCCAACGGAAAACAATTCACTCTACATTTTTACCTTAAAATCTTACCTCTAATTTGCTATTTTTTTTCCTTAGAAATTCTTGTCACAAAAAGAAATTGCATTGGGAAAGGTCAAGCAATACTTTTACTATTCCTTCACCTTGGAAAAAAGGAAATAACTTTAAAATATATTTAAAAAAATGATTTCGAAATATATTTTACTTCATTTAGTGTTTTATTAGTAGCCTAAATATTTGAAAGTCTGAAACCAAAAATATTGTCCTTTTTGCGTTTTCTCTGTATTTCAGCACTTTCGGGGCCTTTTCTTGTCGAATATCAACGGTAACAGCGTCATCATACAAATGTATACAATTCAATAATATATTCACTAAGATAATTTTTTACATATTTTTCATTTTATTATTAATAATAATTACCGCTAAAAAATTATTCTCAAATTTTGTTACGTTGCTTGATGCTTTTTTTATTTGACTCTACCCTTGCGTTAGAATTTTTTCCAATACCTTAAAAATTACTTTCTTATGAAAAACACTCGTACATAAAAATATTGTGCATAGCAATTAACACCTTCGGAAGTTTATTATAACTATTTTACAACCCCTAAATTTATGACATTGTATTGACTTTCTTGTCCAAATCCTTAGTTTGGATTATACTTATATGTGAGTATTAACATATAAACTTTCGAATGTGTCTTTAGAGTTACCCAGAACTATCTATTAAATCATTAATGTAACAAAACCAACGTTTGAATTTCATCTTGAGCCTATCCTAGCACTAAAAACAAAATATAATCCTAAAATTCAATGATACTTCTAGAAGTACCTATTATCCAATTTTAGGATCATATTAAATAGACTAAGAAACTACTAACTTATTTCGATTTTTTATAGTCAAAAGTTTTGGAAATGTTACTGTTCCGTCGCATTCGTTGTCCCAAACTTGAACCACAGAGTAAACCAAAATAATTGTAGATATCAAATAATTTACTTTACTTCTTACTGTAAATAGTTAAAATTTTAATCTTTCTTGTACTTAATACATGAAAAAAATCATTATTAGGAAAAAAAATGTCAACGTCCGTTCACACTTTTGAAAACTTTATTAACAAAGTTGCAGTAGTCACACCCTAAGGCAGTTTGGAATTTAAAAAATCTGAACTATATATAATAACATAAGAACCTTACATATATCAATATCACTAAAAGGAGTAGTCGAAAAACTTCCTACCGTTACGTCCACAACAATTAAATGATAGTCGCCTACTCTGTGCACTGGCACAATAATCGCGCCCTCATCACAACGGGAGCTTGAGTCTGTTGATGTTTAGCAGAAGTAGCGACCCCCCCCCCCCCCTACTCCCAGTACCACCCCCCTTTCCCCCGCGACTGCTTCGTTAGCTCCCCTGCACTATTTGAATATGAGAGGCAACTTTACAGTTCAGAGAAGCTCACGACCCCTAAACTTAAAGTTCGCTTCTCGCTGTTCGTTTCAATACAGAATCCGAATAGTTTAAGAATACAACCCCCGCTACTTTTACAACTATTTCGATCTGACATTACTGAAAGGTGGCTCAACCCTTTACCTAATTCATTTAGTTTCAAAATTTAAATAGATAGAAATGTAAGTATAATTTACGCACATCTGTAGTAAATTCTGTGCTTAGATTGTGTCATTAAGATTCATTTTCATTAAGATCTAAGTTTGTTCACGCTGGCGTAATTACGTACAATATGCAATAGTCTAATACAGAAAGCACTTTAAAAGAGCTTAGTTCTAAAGGCACAACATAAACATCAAAAATATTAAACAAGAAAGCATATCATATACTTATGTACAATTAAAATTCATTTTATTTTAAGTGCTAGTCTCTGCACTAAAGGTCAAACTTGAATTTGAATTTCTTTGTAGAAAAATATCGAAAAATTTTCGCCATTGGGGGTTCGCATTAACCTGCCCAGAAGACGCAGTTTCGAATACCGAACATATTTCTATGAAACACTCACATGTTAGTTTTGGGCAGCTTTTACAAAAATATTGGAAAAGAATCCTTTTGAATATTCTTGACTTGGATTTTTAGACTTTAAAACTTTTGCCTCCGATAAATTCAAATTGTAAAAGTAAATCTTTAAAAAGAATCCACCAAACATCACTAGCATCCTATCGTTTTCAATAGTTACAAAGTGTATCTAGCACGCCCGTACAGAAAACACTGTAAGGTTATAAGATTATAAGGCAATAGACATGTGATACTATTAATTAAACACTATAAAATTTGCGAATAGTTTACGGTTGAACCTCGACTCAAAGGGGTTAAAAAGGCGGAGTATCGCTTACAAGACTGGGTAAGAGGAGCCGTAATTGCGAAGAGCTACAAGTGCCTTCAATGACTGGATAAATTGCGCTAGCGATAAACTACGGGCTTAAATTCATTAGCTAGCTTAATTTCAATAGGTGGCTTAAATTCATTTGCGGCTTAAAACACTCAGACCCATTCTGAAATATACAATCAGACTAAGACCTCATGCATGAATATAAGAAAAAAGTATACTTTTAAATCATAACAACAACATATGACACGAGAAAACAACTATCAGTTTTCGAGAAGAAGCTGCGAGGATTATCACTTTTAAAAAAGGTTACTTGTCGCTTTTTTAAAAGTGACAATTCTCTTAGCTTCTAGTCAAAATCAATAACATCCTGTGACATTCACTATTCAATTCAAAATTACTAAATATAAAACGAGAAAACAACTATAAAATACAATATTTGGTTATAAATCACATAAGCTTTATTTAAAGCCGCAACAAAAAGACACACGAGTTTTGTGTTATGCATATCCACCAGGTGAACCGTCGCGCCACCAATGATAAGGTTCTCTGCTACCTCGAGACGAATCTACTATCCGCTGGCTTTCATAAAGTTTGCGGTAATACCTCGAATACCGTCTATTCGTGTAATATTAATGTGAAACCGTCACAATGATGTAAATATTTCTATTCAAACTCGACCAACTTAGGGAGAATGTGCCGGCAGTACATTGAAAATGAATGATTAAACCTGTATTACAACCATCCTAATTCATTTAATAACAATCACCCCACAGCGCCTTTGTAATAAAGGTTCCTATTTATTCTGTGTAAGTAATTTGGACTAGTAAGAAACTTGGAACGAAGAACTTTGGAATACTTTAGACCTTAAATTGATTCCAATGATAATGCAGTGGAATAACGGCCTTTTAATTTGAGGTTTCTTTTTCTAATCTGCGAATAAAGAATGTTAGACTTTTCAGTGTGGCGCAAGAAAATCTAAATCTTCTAAATATAGTTCGTAGGCTGAGTTGTTTGTGTAAATTGCTTTTTAGGCTTTATTGTGTTTGCTTGCGAATTGCTTATCAATAGCGCGCGGTTGTGCAATCGACGGCTGTATCAGCCTGGCTCGGAATCACTATAAGTGTAGACGTCGCGACGCCAACGCATAATCGAGGCAATTGACCGCTTGCACTTTCTATTGATCAACAATTTGTTCAAATTAAATAAATAATCTCCACGCAAGCCTATCAGTCAACAATAGTCCTTTAGGCATAAACCTAGCTTAAACATGTTAAAACTAAGATAATGTAATGTTCACAAACTTGTACGTAGACAGTAACCTGAGTCTTTCAAAAAGCTCCCTTTAATGCATCAAGAGATAAACAATGTGCCAAATTGAAATTTAAGGACCTATTGATATTTAACTAATTACTAAGTTACACCCAATAAATGTAGTTAGTAAAGAATAATAAAATTATTATAAATATTTACGTTCTATGTCCGGAAAAAAGGTTTTGAATCTTAGTAGCTTATAAATCTAACTAAATCATGAACAAAATATATCCTCCTTCTTGGTATTCAAATATATATCACACTATTCTCCCGAAACGATCATAAAAACAATGGTTTATTTTCCAACACAACATGTCAAAACATTTTCCATATAATGCAGATATCCACTCATAAAAAATCCCCCTCGCCCACGGCCAAGCACTCCAAAAAACAAAGCTCTGAGGGCTTTTGGCTTCTGAATATTTAACAGATCCTCTCTTTGTTGGAATATTAAGTCAATGGGGGTAATTGATCTGTTGGAAACCTCTATACGCGCTTACATAAAACGAATCAGTGTGAGAAGAACGATCTCCTAAGCCCCAATTATGGACAAGACAGCCGCAAAATCTATGCTTTTAAATATCAAAGAAGATATTAAAAATAATTTTTAATATTTGCAGAATTAGCTTGCCTTTTCATGTGTCACAGCGAAACTGAGAGATGAACTATGTATATAAGTACACATCACATACCTGTAACTATATCGGCAATCGGATAAAATAATTGAACGACTATTCCTATAATCTTTCAAAAATTAATAACAAACCCCTTACCTCTACCACTCCGGCCGACGAATCTCAGGTCGTTGAACTTCGCCACTTGGTTTTTCATTACCGCCGTGCAATTTCTGAGCTCCGCGGAACAGTTCTCGTCGTTGCCAGCGCGCACTGTGACGAGGGTACCGTCACCAACGTCCCCAAGCGCCACAACCTTGAAGGCGACTGGCAGCGTTTTGTTCGACCGCCAATGAGGAGGCAGTACTGTACAGACCTGCAAAAAACATTGACATTAAAGGTATGTTCTAGATTTCTATACTTTCGAGTTACTTGTAGATACAACATACATGCCCCTATAAGAATTTTTCAATATGAAACCTCCTTCAACTATCATTCTGACTTAGATCGTTGAAGGACGATTATGTTATGAGTGTTTGTAATAACCACCAACTTCTACAAATGCTTATCATAAACATAGAATTTAAGCTAATGGTAATACTTATTCAATTCTTAGTTATCACTTATTAGATCCCGTCAAGGAATAGCAGTTCATGCCGGTTGATATGTGCAAAAGATTGAGCTACAAGATTGAATGAATATTCTTTATTGCACACACCATGGTAAAGAATAAATTAAAAATAACAATTATGTAAGGGTTGTACAATGGGCAGCCTTTTTACTTAAAGCAATTTCTTCCAGGCAACCTTTGGATGGACATAATATGAAAAGAGTATTTTAGGGGTGTGGGTAAAATTCAACTAATTTTATAAGATAAATACATTGTTATAAAATAAAATAAATAAGTACATAAATACCGAAATAAATATATATATATATATATTCATATATATATATAATAAATATTCATATATATATAATATATACAAATATCCATAATACACAATATATTATAATATATACACACATTCATACCACAACAAATACATATACATTATATCAGAGACGCACCTAAATACAATACATTATATATCTAAACCAGATTTAAAGTGACAAATAGTGATTCGTGACAAAGTTTTTAAAAGTGGATAGTGACTGAGCACATCTCACCTCCAGAGGTAGGGCATGCCAAAATTGCGCACCTTGAACCATAAAGGACTTAGCCATAAATTTTGTTTTGTGAGCAGGTATTTTTAATTTCAAATTTTCTGGTGATCTCAGAAGATGCGGATGGGATTCGTGTAAAAACTCAAAACGTTTCTTTAAATAAAAGGGAAACGAAGGATTGAACAGAATTACAACGTTCTTCAAGAAGAGAGAGTATATGAGCATTCCGGAATTTTTAACAGGTCGTCATTTATAGATTTCATAGCCACATGTAAGTCTTCAATGCAAGCTTGATTGTAGATTTGAAGGTCATCTGCGTAAAGGTAGTTAGGATGAAGTAAGATTATTAGATATGAAGTTTATAAAAACTGACAAAAGTAAAAGACATTATAGAACGACACCCTGCGGAACACCAGCGGTCGTATTGCACCACGAAGAAGAGATATCTTCAATGCATATACGCTGCCGACGCCCATACAGGTAAGTACGAAACCAATCAATTGCTGTTGGAGATATGTTAAGACACCTGAGTATTCCATCCAAAACCTCTAATTCAACCGTATTAAAGGCGTTACTGAAATCCAGCAAGGCAAGGACCGTTAACTTGCCGTTTTCCATTCCTGTTCGTATATCCTCTGTGATGTTAACCAAGACTTTTACCGTACTGTGGCCAGGTCGAAACGCAGATTGTAAAGGGTTTAAAATGGAGTTCCTGTTAAGGAAAGTGCTGAGCTGACTATGTAGGAGGCGTTTGAGGAGGAGGAAGGAAAGAGGAGGCTCTGTATAGGAATTGTAATATGGATATTGGACGAAAAGCGAAAAAGAAGGAAGGGTTGTGTTTTTTTGGTAAAGGAATTATTTTTGCATCTTTCCGGGAAGAAGGGAATATACGATCATTATATATATATATATATATATATATATATATATATAATGAACGATGAATTTAAAATATGACATATAGTTGGAAGAAGGAAGTCAATGATAGGAAGAATCATTTTACAGATAAGACACTTCGGACTGAATTTGAAGTAATAGATAAATTACTCTTCTTAACATCACAAGCAGAGAATTGATTCAGTAAAAAAGGCGGTTGGGCGGGGGAAGAAATTGATGAAAGAGCATTTGATGTGTTATTTTTCATAGTACCAACAAAATCGATCGAAGCACAGAAAAATTTATTGAGCAAATATATTGAAATTTTTGAAGGACATTTCGTTGCGTGACTTTCCAACCCCCATTGATCTAAGAAATTTCTAGATTGTAGCTGGATCTGCATTCTAGACAGACACGTGAATGTTATGGCGTTGTGCGTCCCTACACACCTTATTGCATTTATTTCTAATTGAGACGTACTTTTCCCAATTAGTGGCTTTCTTTCCTAAAAGTAATTTTATATCTTCTGTTAATCAAGGCGATAGGCGTTGTTTTATTTTAATTTCTCTGACCGGAGCATGCACATCGTAAAGTTCAATAATTTTATGTGTGAAGAGCAGGACCCTTTCGTTGATACACTTGACATTTGAAAGTATTGACCAATCGATATATGCAGCACTTACAGAGATCCTTACAGAGATCATCCACCTTCATACCACTAAAATTACGCTGAAAAATAAATTTTGACTTGGCTCAACGAGAACGAACATTATAAGAAAGAAAGATAAGGTCATGGTAGTAAAAGGCATCAGCTGGACACTGGCCGAACTTTGTAACATAACTGGAAGAAGAAACAAGAATAAGATAAAGAAGTGAAGATGCTCGCCGGCATGACATGGGGGTGATTGCATTGATGTATCAATTATTGTAAAAGGGATAGAGTTTCTCAGGTATATAACCACACCACCACCAACGCACCAAGTACGATCATTTCGAATGAGATGGAAACCAGGTAAAGAGTATTGAGAAGAAGGAAGACATAGTTCAAGCCAAGACTCAAGGAAGAAAACAGGAACGTGTGTACGTTAAATATCTCAGTACGAATCTAAATAATTGAAATAGCTCCTGATTCTATTAAATATAGACTGAAAACAATGAGACCAAAATAACAGCTATTCGTGTCCAAGGAACCGTAGGGATTAGCTTGTAACAAGGAATATTAACGAATTCATCAGAACTACACATTTTTTTGATAGAAGATGTCCAAACCGGTAGGACTAAATTAACGATATACTGAGTTCTAAGAAGAACGATGAAAAAGTTCGCAGAATAAAACGGTTAGAACGAGACAGGGACAGGATTGGAAATAGACTGTCCTGTACACCTACAACTATTTGATGACTCAATTTCGCCAAAAAAACAACAATCTCCATAAATACAAAGCTTTGGCTAAATCTGGTCACTCTTGTTCGACATATCTCCAAATCAACCAGTCAAATGGGAAGAAAATGTCAAGTGTAAAGATTGAGTTTCACGCTGTCATAAACTTCCTCACTAAGCTGGGAAAAATGTCGAAGATCATTATGGAAGAGATGTTCTCTGCTTACGGAGACTCTTGCACCTGGGGAAACATTGCTTTATACATGGTATGGCCTATTCAAGCAAGGCTGAGAGTCAGAGGTTGGCTGATTCAAGCCACTTCCTCAGCCATTGTCGAAAAAGTAATTAGCGGAAGAGGTTGGAGTATCATCTAATACCATTTTTAACATTCCTATGATTATGTTGGTATTGCAAGGTCAGTGGAAGGTGGGTACCGAAAATGTTCACACCGCTTCAAAGCCAACAGCACATCGAGTGCTCGCTGGAGTTTTTGCGATTCTGTAGCTATAACCGAGATAAGTTATTGAGCCAACTTGTTAGTGGGAACATAACGTGGGTTCATCACTATGAGCCTGAGTAAACGCAAGAGTCAGTGCAATGGTATAAAAAAGGCGCACCCCCGACTAAGAAGTTCAACGTCTCGCAATCGGCCAGAAAGATTATCGCCACGATTCTTTGGAACTCTAGGGATATTTTTTATTATTAAAAGGCCTTAGCATCACCGGAAAATTACTACGCCAGTATATTCATAAAACTAAAAATTGCCATCAAGGAAAAAATAATGGGAACATGCACTCGAGGTGTTTTGCTTTCACACGACAAGACGCCAGGACGTCTCCACAAGAGCCACGTTGCGATGGCTGCCCTACACAAGTGTGGGTTCGGAATCTTGAACACCTGACGGGCTGTAGACCAAGTTTTGCCCCGTCAGATTATGATTTGTTCTCGAAGATGAAAAAAGCACTTCGAGGTAAAAATATTTACCAAGGATGAAGATGCGAAGTCGGCGAATTCGGCTTATTTTGTAGACCAATAAAAATGGGCTTAATATAATTTTCTTTCCTTGCCATTCAACAAGCTTTTTGACCACCCCTCGTGTATATGAAAAGACAAATTACGAATAAAGCAATCACATTTGACAAACAAATTACAAAATTGAACTGGAGGCTTTTAAACATTTGATTGATTTCATATATTGCTCAACACTTCCGTGGAAGCATCACAGCCTCACAGAGGACCGGCGTGAAGGGTTGGCAAATAGGTTGGCTACTTATCTGCAACCCGTTAGGTGCTGTAGATGACTTATAGCAGTAATCACTTACACAGGGCCAGGCAACAGTCTTCGCTGTTGCACGGATAGGCCGCTCCGTCCGCGGAACACTACCACGACCTTACAAAAGACCGGCATGAAGTGGAAGTTTTATACTTCTGCGTATTGTCAGTTGAGTGAGGTAGCAGGGACCCACAATAATTATGTTGAAAATGTCATGGGCTGTGGTTATCACTTAAGGTGAAGGAGAGAGGGTGCCTGCATGCCTTCTCACATAAAAAACAAAATCAGGTGAACCGCCGCTTGACAATTTTTACACATTAAAGGAAACTTACCACATGCGGACTGCCAGTCTTCACCAGTTCGCCCTGATGATCAGCCAGAAGTCCCTCCAGCGTCCTCTCAGCCAGGAGTTCGGCAGTAAGCGGCTGGCTCGGCAGACCACTACCACCGTAACTAGAAGACGGAGCCTCGTGCCCCAGTCCGTTAGTAGTCGAACTCACTTCACTCGATAGATGCATCGTCCACTATGTTACTTAAAATCACTCTATAAATATTTCACTAAAACGTTACATACAGTATGATAAGTTCGCGCGATTTCAGCATCGGTCACATAATTTCAATCGACCGTTTCGTGTTGAACTTGAGATGAAACTTGGACTTCTCCAAGTTTTGTTTCGCTTTAGCCGATAACGCCATGTCGATTATTAGCATCTGGAATATAAAAAAATGCTGCGCATCAAAATATCTCATAAAAAGAAGCAAAAATTTAAGATTCCTGTACACCGTAAATATTCAACATCATTAACATCAGTTAAAAAGATTTACACCAAGTTTCCGAAAGCGCAATCAATTTTAATTTACGATAAATCTCTTGTCAATCGCTGTTTAGCATGATCCGAGTTGCTAGAACCTCATTGTCTTAAACAACATTGATTTTGATTTGCAATTAGTCACTGATTATCGGACAATCAACAGAAAATCGAGTTTCTGAAAGCGTTTTTCGGTGGTCAAAGAGCTGTCAAAAGTTTTATTAAGTAATCTGTCAATTTGGACGATCAATCGTTGGTTTAAAATGTTATTTATCAACAATCTTAGTTTTTATCAAAAATAAACATAATTCCCTAATACGTTGTTAGGACATTCATGTGTTCTATTACCTATTTATTATTTATTATTATGCGAACATATCATGTGATTAGAAAAAATACAAAATGCAATTCAAAAGTTAATAAATAATATGGATTCTTTCTTTTTTTAATGCTTACTTGTTTATTATTGATAAAAGTTAATTTTTTTCACGTTCTGTAAAGTTTTTTTTTTTTGACATTTTGCATCTATTTATATAAATTAAATTTTATTATAGCTCGGATTTTGACGTTGGCAATCACACGGTGACAGGACTGGAGAGTGATGTTAATTTAATTTTTGTTTAAAAAGGGACAGCTATACAATAGAAAGAGTTAGTTGAAGTAAATCATTCATTTCATTCATTATCATTGGTTATACAGTGATTAGCTCATTTTTCTTGAACAAACCTTCCAGAAACCCAAGGCAGTTTAACAAGAGATTAACAGCTGATCATTTTTGACATAGTGTTATGTGATTGCTGCTTTGATTGGCCTTTCAGAAACTGGGCATTAATCTTAACTGGAGTGCAAGTCTCAACAAAGTACATTTTCCATGTGTATTCCGAAACGTCCGGACTGATTTTAATGAAATTTTCAGGCAGTCTTCAAATTAGTCCAGTTTCACCAACTGGGCTAATTTGAAGCCTGGGAAGTTTCGGAGATCGGATCAACAATTTTTTTTTTATTTAGAGATAACCGTGCGAAGCCGGGGCTGATCGCTCGTTTTTTCTAAATATCAAATAGTCAAAGCTCTTCCACACGGCCGCTAAGCGTGTCGTCTTTAACAATATAAAACTTGCAACATTTTAATATATGATCGCAAAGGATCATACTTATAGACATTTTTGAGGGAAAACAAGTAAGCAACATCAAAGTGACTTACGCGCGAAAAGAGCACGCACAATCGCGAGCTAGGGCGGGTGATTCCGGGGTGCCAAATCAAGCGAATACAATAAAATATTCGCGACGGCCGTAACAAGGCTACGTCCTAAAGTTGCCTTTCAGAGATGATACAAACTTGTATACATGTCATTTTAAACAATAAAACACATCATTTTATCAATGGCGGACAATTTTAAGAAGTAGCAGCGAGCTATCGTTGAATTCCAATTGTTGCTCTTTTAGCTGCAATAAACACGTGCATACAAAATTTTTTATTATTGCAACATTTAAGGTCAAAACATGGACTACCGTCTTTTATATAGGATTATTAGTTGTAGGCCGATCTAAGCCGAGAAATAACTGTACCACGAAGTCTTGCAAAGTTTCACTGGCAATTTCAAACTGGAGAACATAACCTCTCTATCTCTAGCCACGTCTATCCGTACACATTGAAATAAGAGTTTCGTAGTGTAACGCAAATAACAAGCCGCGCCGCCCGTCGTCGCCGCTCACGGCTGGTTAACCGTAGCACTTTCCCCGACCCACTACGCACGGCCCCTTTGATCTCAGACACAATCCGAACACGGCATAGATAATGATACATTATTCACAACGGGGCCTCGTATTCCCTCGTTAAGAATTTTCACTATTTACGCGTAAAGACGACGGTGTTTTGCGTTCTAAGAGCATAACACGGTTATAAAGAAACTCTTTTCGCACATCTCATATTCAAGCACATAACAACAGCCGTATAATCAAATAAGTGAGACAAAACACTACCAATTATGTGAATAAATCATAACAGTGAGTGTTACATGGGCTTAATTCTGACTGACAATATTTGCATGTGACATCACGATAATGTAAGCCTGAAGAATGGCCTTTATTATAAATCTTATTAAATAAATTGCTGTGATAAAACAATCCTAATACATTACTTTACGATAATGCGAAAGCATGAAAGGACACCGATCTCTATTTTAAAAGAAAGTCTGGCGTATGACATAACTATAAATAGTGTAGAATAACATCAGCGAACTCTTTTCTAATATGAAAGTTTAAAGGAGAAATAGGTCCTATACACAGACAGTCTTGATATATTGGCAATAATATTTAGAAGTAGTGTTTCCCTACCCCGAGGGGTAAACGACGGATAGGCCGATGGATGTTTGCGTAACCCGATACGTCGAACGGCATGTTAAACTTAATTTCTGAAGGGGTGATACGAGCCCCGACAACATGTCTTTTACTGCCTTTCACCGTGTTTGCTTTGATTCCGATCGTTAAAGAATTCGGGGGAGTCTTCGATGGTTGCTTCGAGTTTGACTTTTTCCATAATTGTTATTAACTAAAAGTCTTATGGTCGATGTAATACTTTCCCTCGCGGTTATTTTTCCGACTTTTTCGGTTTTTCTTACTTTAGTTATATATTCGTATTTTGATATTTTATTCGATAATTTAGAATCCTCTATGTGGATATAAGGATGGCGTCAATAAAATTATAATTATATTTTAAATCATAATTATTTAGTATCCACTTTTAGTGTAGTACCACTAGTAAAGTATATAAATAATCATATCTTTTAATCTCAAAATAAGACATTCATACAGATTATACAAAAGACCATAAGTGTATAATAAGTATTCCGCCAAATGAAGTAACATAAAAGGTAATAAGTTAGCTCAAACTAAATTACAAGTTCGTAATTTATTAAACACGGACCAAAACAACATAGGCCGCCTCGACTCACGCTGATTCGCAGTGGATTTATCCGATGAATGGTAGCGCAGTGAAATCTCAACTTAAAACATGCGGAAAGGGAATAGGTCGTAAATAATAAAGCATGTAGGGGTACCCTACAAGTGGGTAAATGCTCGTTACCCGGCCCTGCACCCTTCCACAAAGGAACCGTGCAAACGAGCGGGCATACGTTATAAGAAGACTTACTGCTTCGACGCTAATTTGGTCCGCATTTCAATAAAACTTCACGCGTTTACACGCGGAAGCATTTCCAATTTCCGAGATCGAAATGCCGTATTTGAAATTCGAATAAGACTGAGCGGATCAACTTTTTAGCAGCGAAGTTTAAAATATTTATTTATTTATTAACCTTACACTATCATCACAGGTAGGTACTCAACCTAATACAATAGTGCGGCCTAATCAAACAAATATCAAAATATAATAAATAAATATAATATTAGGGTATGTCTCTTTAATTTAATAACTAAACTATTAAAACTGTACTATAAATATGACATAAAAATATGAAAATCTTAGTTAATTGTTTTAAACATATTCAACAGGCAATATCATGAATTTATAAAATTAGATAAGAAACATATTTTTTTATTACCATAGAACCTATCACGGAATCTTCATTCACAAAAAGGATGTACTTCGCAAGTATCGAAATCACCGTAAAAATAAAGTATAGATAGGTAATAGATAAATATTGTTTAAAAAATTAAAAATTGATTTATCGTGCCATGTTAACTTCTGAGAAACAGTACAATTGATTACTTTGAAATTACGCTTGAAAAGTATTTACAGATCTGTTATATCTATCGATCTATTATTATATTGAACATAAAAATACATTTTTTTTTTTTCAAGACATAACTGATTGAGAATTGACACGTTGATTAGGCCGATTATTGTTTATATATTTTTTTTTTATGTGAAAAGTTGCCAAACGAGCAGACGGTTCACCTGATGGTAAGTAAATACCGCCGCCCATGGACATCTACTACACCCGAGGGTTACAGATGCGTTGACAACCTTTTGAAAATTGGGCTCCGGCTACCTCACTCACCAGACGAAACGCGAAAGTATAAGTCGTACTTCCACTTTACGCCGCTCCTCTGTGAGATCGTGGTACTTACCCGGACGGGCCTGCCCATTCGTGCAACAGCCGAGGCTGCTGCGTGGCCCTACCACCGTAAAAAACTTTGTTATGCCGCAAGCATTATGAAACAATGTTCACAAAGTCTTCGATACAACGGCATTATCTCCGTCCTGCCATATATTCACAGTCTACATCTAATTCCGGTGGCGCAGCTGTCGGCCGAATAAAAATAGCCGAAACCCTTCGTTTTCTAATAACATCCATTATCAGCCCCGCTTTAAAGAGGAGCGAACACGCACGGAATCGATAGTAGACGTGTAGGGACACGAATTCCTGAGGGCCTCCCCGGAGACAGGTCGGACACGGATAATGATCGTCCGACGACCGACGGGTACAAATAGGTTAGCGAATGCAATATCCGACGGAGTCTGTACCCGGGCAAGGTTCAAATGGTCACGGGACTACAATCGGATTTCCTTGAGTCGACCCAAGACGTTTCGAACACTCTACGTAGTAACGGTACAGTCGAGTACATATTAGTAAATGTACTGTCGTAATATTTGAATGTCTGTTAATTTATTTTTTTTTATATATACATTTTTGCAACATCTCCGACAATGATTTTTAAAAAGGCTCGGTGTAAAGCAGAATTTCTGGGAAGGTTCAAAGGGTCGACCCTTGCTCGCGCAATATCGGCGACAATAAACAACATCGCGTACAATCAAGCAGTTAAATAGGAATCGCTTGGAATGTGACGGAGAGCAGTAGCGCCGTTTATTAAAATCCCGACTCGGTGAAAAGCTCAAAACAGTTCAAAATGTACGCCGAAGATGTAATCGTGTTTAAATCCCACTACAATGAATGAAATAAAATGCACAGAGTGTATTTTAAAACTAATATTCTATAATTGTTATTAGGTACTTGTTACAGATACATTTATTAAACATGCTTTAAAGTTAAGAGCATTTAAGATATAGATACAAGCAGTTGTGACCGAAACTGAGAAAAAAAAATTCCATGCTCGGTTCTAGCTAGAGGAGACCTGGACACTGTGAAAAGCAGGCTGTGCTTTAATTATTGGTGTTCGAAATACGGTACTGGGGAAAGATGTTCCGTACTCCCTGGACTACACTCAGAATTAACACCTCTTGCCCACGGAGCATAAATCGAAAGGAAGCCTTCAACAATATGGTGCCATAATTATGTAATAGGTTTATTATATTAAGGCTATTGTACATGCAAGTAATATTTTATCGAATATGTAATAACGTGAGCGGGGTAATTATTATTTTTTGTCCTAATATCTGTAATCAAGATGAAACTTAAAATTGTAGATAAATGAACAAAAATAGTCGGAGCTGCGGGATTCGAACCTGCGTCTTCTGCTTTCGTGCCCAGTTGCATAATTTTAATTAATAATTTTCTATACCCTTATTTAAAGGATCATAATATCTTTGGTAAAATTTATCTTTATCATATTTAGTTTGGTGCATCAAAATTGCTTAAATACTTAACACAATTTAAAATCCAAAACGAACATTTAAAGATATTATTACAATTATAATATCTTCACGTTCACTTTTGCACAAAGTTTTAAGAAAAATACGTTAACTACCTAGTTTAAAATATGGCAATAAATTACAATGTAAAAATACTGATATAAATTAGAAATCTGTGACATTTATGTAATTGTTAGTATGAAATTTAATTAATACAATGTGTTGTAAATAATTTGAATGTAAAAATCAATAAAAGAATTAGAGAAGAGAAACAATAGAATTTTTAATCTATTCAAAACATCCGGCATTCGAAATTTAAAGCTCGCGCTAGCAACAAGCCCAATCCCGCGAACAATGCCGCCAACCCCCTTCATATCAATGTGTAAGGAATTAATTTCCTACACCATTAATGTCAACGATTTTATTGATTCGAGGGAATAAAATTAATACAAATATTTTTAAACATTGAATGGGATTGATTACGTTTATACATTTGAAAAAATGTTATAACTTTATTTATCGTCTAAAAACAAATTTAAATTTTCAGTGCTAATCTCTGCACTTAAGTTTGAACACAAATATTTTTCTACAAATTTTAACGATATCATATCGTTAACAATGTCAAAATGAGACAATATTGAAAGAGATATTTTTGACGTATCCGCAGCAAGGGAAACAAGTAATGGCAAGCGTCAATTAAATGGTACAGGTAAAAGTTAGGGGACGGGAACATCCATCCTAATGGGAGTTCGCACTTACTTTTTAACAAGTTTCCTTTGCGGCATTAAATCGCAGTGGAAAATAAAGATACAGAGATGTGAGCAATGTGCATTGTTATAAATGAAAATTTGTTTACAATTTATTACGATAAATGAAATGATTTTACTCTACAATTAATTAACAAGTTAATAAAACAGTAAAAATTACCGTGAAAATAATACGTGCGGATATTATGTTTCAAAATTTTGTGTATACATTTAATAAGAAAAATAACCTTTACGTGATTAAAACTAAAAGATAAATGTCCTTAGAATTACTACGTGAATAAATTTATAGATTAACCATATTATCTACTCATAATCCATACATTCGAGTTCAACACGCCATAAATCCTCATGTTTTACGAAACGTGAAACTTAAACAAAACTTTAATTAATCCTGTGCTAGTCAACCTCGCGAGGAGACGTCTACCCGATGTTATCATAACACACCGTTATATCAGAAGTTTTATCGTCGCGGCGTAGTGTGAACGGGGCTAATGAGCCTGCGGTTTTCGGGAAAACATAAGAGTAAAACCCCGACCTCCCCCGCCCCGCCGCTCGGCATCGCGGAATTACGCAAACTTTCCATTAATTAATTTTCAACGTTTCTCAACACATATCCGTTATCCACGCGTGTAAAGACAGTGCGTGAACGAAATTCACTTCTAAGACCACAGGTATACTTACGTGGATTGAAGGAGAGAAAAAAATTAAAAAGTTTCGCCCCGCGTCATTACTGGCACATAAACACTACACTGAGTCCGCACAAAATAGAAAAAAAGTTTACGCGAGTAACCGCGGAGGCGCGCGCGTCCGCCGCCGAAACGTGGTCGACATTAAAACCTTAGCGGGAAAGAAACGGTCCCCTTATTACGTCTCGAAAGAAATTCGCACACAGACACGCGACGAAAGAAGTCCACTCACACTAACGCGCCGTAGCGACGCGACACGGGGGGAAATGCCGTCTCTGTGTGCGTGGGGCACAAATAAGCATTAAAAGTGATAGTTAGGCACAGGACAGGCACGAAATGACGACTGTACCTACATGCTAACGATAAACATGGATGATTCGTAATAAACCTTAATCTTTATTATCTAAAGGCAATGCTGAAAAACTTATATGGTTCTTAAACACAGACGCACTGAAATCTGGCCATTGGCAAAGGAGAGGTGGAAATTAAGATTTTTCGTTTCTAAATTTTATCTAAAAATTTAAGTTTTAATTAATAGTTGTATTACGATATAATATTTTATACATATATTATGGATATAATATTCTACTTATATGCGATTATGTCTGTTTTTAAATTTCAAGAAATGAAGTTTTAAAATATGAAAAATATTTTGCTAACCGACTTTCTACTAAAATTATTTCAACTATAATCGTGATGTAGTAGCGAAGTAACATTCATCTATCGAATAAACTTTTAATAAATATTTGAATTTATTCTAAAAATATAATAAGCCTAATCGAAGACTATATCTATTTTTAAATTTCAAGTAACGAAGTTAATAAAATATGAAAAATATTATGCTAACCGACTTTCTACCAACTCCACGTACAAAACTTGTGACGTGAACAAGTAATTCATTGTTAGTTACAAAAACAAAACCGACTTCAAATATCTCACTCCCTATACCTACGATTTCTATCTGATTTTGATGATTTTCCTGATGTATCTCCGGAGTCCAAGGTCCAATAACAATGAAATTAAAATTGAAGCTAAACCGAATTCAATGCAGATTTTTTTTAAATATGAACTAATCATAAATGACGGAGTTCTGACGTCACAAGCATGAAAAAACGTACAATTGAATTAAGAACAAACATGAAAAAACGAACAATTGAATTAAGAAAACCATCGAAGAAACGTTCTCCTTTTTTGAAGTCGGTTGAGAATATACTGCTTACTATTTCGCATTAAACCAGATTAAAAAATAACATTTCCAACATTATATCCATAAACAATGAAAATTAGTTTTTGATCTATTTTTTGCGCAAAAGTTTTCATAAAAAAGTAAATGCTTTTTTGGTAATAAATAACTTTCTTGGCATAATTGCTTATATTTCTATAGATACTTTTAGTCGTGCTCAATCAACCATATTTCATGCATCGCCCAACATAATTGAATTTTAAATTACTTTTTTTTCTTTTCACACAGGTTTTAGCTAACTTGTAAGTAAATCTGAAGGCTGTTAAATATAGAATATATTTATCTACTCTGGATTTCTTTATAAGTTTTTTTTGTATTTTGCTTAGTAAAGCGTAATCTATACAATCATTTTAAAGAATTTAAAACAAAATGAGATATTATTTTATTAATGAGATATTATTTTTACGGGGTCGCATAAATAGCATGCAACAGAAAATAAATGTCATCATGGCGGCTGTAATAATCGCGGAATATGCAATCAGTCTTTAGCCCGCGTGATAAAAGGACTGCAGGGCCTGGCAGCGGACTATGGAAATTTTATATCGCAATAAAATTCAAATGCGCGCCTTAATGAGCGAAGCCTGGAGCCGATAGAAAGCCGTATCGTTGACAAAAGGATGAGCATTTCGCAGTAACCTCTTCGCTTACACCGACCGCGTCTCACCCACACAGCGGCGAACCGCATACCGCGCGTACCCACGCTAGCACACACGCGAAACTCACCACTACAGATCCCAACCCGCACGCCCACCCGCCAAACACGCCCAACGTCTTGGGTTTTCTTATAAACCGCGCTGTATTCGACGTCCCGCTCTAGCGCCAGACGTCTTATGGGATCCTCTCCTTCTGGCGCAATGACGAGCTTCACATAAAACGGACTCCCGCATTCCCGCCTTTTTTCCCACTCCATTTTGACAGCTCGTGGCTCCATATCTGGTCGGAAACTAAGACAGCGTTCACAGAAATTGTCTAATACAGCCACTAGATTCCATAAAAGTAAATTGCTCCTAAGCTTGTAGTCTCAAAACATGACTGGCAAGTGAAACTGGTCTTCCCCTTTTTGTTTTCTGTAAAAAACACATAATTTGAATATACGTTTCATATTCCTACTATCCAGAATCTAAAATTTTCATACATTCAAAGATATACAATTATATCTTCACATCTTTTTTGTTTCCTCGCCTAATTCATAAATCTAGCAAAGTCATGTGTAAAAAAACATTAAACTTGTTAAATATAAATTCCTTAAAACTAGTCTAAGGAGTAGGTAAAATAAATCATGATTAATGAAATAAATCATCGTTTATGTTCTGCGCAGTCAAGTAAAAAAACCTACTAAATACGAAAGTATGAAATCCCTATCGCGCCCCGAAGCAAGCTTTAATATTCTCGGGACTGAAAGCACAAACATCAGTTAATACAAGATACAAGAAGCCCCGAATCGTCAGTGTGCGCTTCGTCTTATCGACTAAGTGGCTCAAGACGCGTTAGCGGGAGCGAGCGCGGGCGCGGAGCGGGCACTGGGCGGGGCTGCGGAGATGCGGCACTCCGCTATCGGCACACCGTAACACACATTTTTCCCGCCGCAAACCTCGCGCCGAGGGTTAGCCGCTACCCGCAGACCTCGTTCGGCGAAAGGGGGACGGAAAATCACGCTGTCCCTCTCCCGCGCGCAGGCGCACTCTGAAGCAATAAGCGCGCCAAATTCGACAATTCCATTGAGTAATTTAGCACGAAAGCTCCTGAACGTGAAACGTCGCTTCGGCGCGTATCGTAAACTTAATAAAGAAATGTCGTAAGTGTTCCTTTATACGCAATATTCTCTTCTTTTTAACGGTACGGCTTTTAACTGACTACATAAAATCTGACAAGGAATTATATTCTTTGTCTTGACAAATTAATGAATTTTATGCTCATTAAACATTATTGGTTTAAAGAATTTAATGGAAAAGGAAAAACAAAAATTCCTAAAATTTTTATAAATCTTATAAATTTTATGAACATAGTCGCGAAATATTCAATATGTTTCGAAATTGACTCACATTCATTAGTTACCATCATGTTAACTTTAATCTTCACTTTAAAACGGAGATTATCTTGCCGTGCCTTCACAACTGGCCTTATCCCTCCTTCACCGTTTGGCATAAAATTACAATTTATTCAAAATTCAGTAGAAGTCATAGACAACTATATTTTCCACCTAAGTTTTATACACCCAAAAAAATATTGTCACAAAATATATACAAACTTCGAAAATTTAAAAAAAAATGTAACAACGGTGCCTTCGTAGTAGGCTATTTTACAACACTATTATTTACTTTTAAATCGCAAGTTTTGTATTCCACTTACTTTAACACGACCGAGTCACCGCAAGTTCACAGGTGACCAAGGCCCACGTTCCGTTTCGTTATATGGCGTATCAACGTAACATCGGAGCGGCGAGCTAATCATGTGGCGTCGGTCGCGGACAATTTGCAGGTTAGCCGCCGGACCGCGGCTCGGCCGAGGGTCCTCGCGCACGGGATATTATCACACGGACTTTAGACGCCTTCAGCAATTAACCTTTGACGGTTTTGAATTGCCGAATGGAAACATTTTGATATTTTGGTAAAATTCTTTTTTTATGTGTTTAATTTCATGACACAGTAAAATGCTAACAACGAAGTTTTCTTTCCTTCTTGAATTTCGCAATACAAAAACTTCCTTTTCTCCTGGCTCGTTATGTTCCACATTTTACGCGGCTTATTATTCTCAGACTATTATCTGATAACACCAACAGCTCTGTTACGGAATTTTTTCTTTCAACTTTACAACGACAACCAACGTGTAATAATTATCCGGCTGCTATTGTGAGAGACTTGGGCAAAATTTAGGCCGTAGCTTATCGTTGAGGGTCTAGGTTTTAGGTAAGATTTTATAGCGAACGAGGAACAAAATTCCATCCCAATAATATGTTGATGGAAAAATGACTAGGCGGGGCAGTTGCGAAGCCTTTGTAATTGTCGCCGGTGCCGTAAGTTCGATTCCCAATCGGGACATAGCGAGCGACGAACAAAATTCCATCCTAACATATTGTTGGAAAAATGTCTAGGTGGCGCAGTTGTGAACCCTTTGTATCGTATATATTTCGTAAGTTCAATTCCCACACAGGGCAAGTAGATGTTCCCAGAGATTGAGGGTTGACGTCAGGCAAGCGGCCGGCGATAGCAACCTTCACAAACCATTAACATAATAATTCATACGTCGTGCCGACCCAAAATAGGTGGGATAAGGGCAAGAGAGAGAAGAAGTTATTGTTCAAAATTAATATTTCATCTTAATGCAGAGATTAGAACCATAAAAATTTGGAAGAAGTTGGTTTTGAAATTTTTTTCCTTAACAGATTCTTAAATTTCGAATATTCTTATTACTGCTTTTGTCTTCTGCCTTCATATTTATTGGAGAAGATACCCCCAATACATCTATTCCCAAAAGATAACCCAGTGCCAAAGCCGTTAGCTTAATTATGTATACTTTACATTGTAACTTTACACAAATGATTATAAGTTAAATGGGTCCTAGAAAACTGATAAAAATACTTAAACATACTTTTCTTTTGCAAATAAATACATATTATACATATGTAATACCCAGACACTAGAAAAACACTATGTTGATCACACAATATTTTTCCAGTAGTGGGTATCGAACCCACACCCTCACACATAGGAGTCAGGTACAGTATTCACTTTGTCATTCGGGTCGTCATCGTAAATGAGTATTTCATTAATATTCAACATTTGCTACATTCAATTAATGTTCAAAATTAATTTGAACAATTTATTTTAACCCCGAGGAATCTACAACTGTAACTTTGATACCAATTTAAAAGAAAATAAACGTTATATGATTCTATGTACTCAACCAAAAATTCTCTTTAAAGTTTTCCAACAAGTTGTTCTCAATTGTTGTATTTTATTTTCATTCGTTTTCATGTTCTTCAGTGATGTCATTTTAACAGAAGCGCACATCGATTACAATGTAATGTGTCCTAAATATTATTTTTACTGCATTATGAAACTTAGGAACGGTTTCTGAAGCACTAATCATTGTAGATGTTTAAATTTCATTTTAGTTGCCAAAAGGATGGTTAAACTCACTAAATTGACCAGAATGATCAATTCAATGGGCTTAATCATCCTTTTAATAACTCAAATGACATTTGAAAAGCCATTTGACAGCCGATTAGTTGACATCTACGATGATCAGTGTTTCAGAAACTGGACGTTTAAGTAAATAAGTGAACCTTCGCCTTCCGGGTTACGCACCCAGACGCTCTAGCCGCCAAGCTAGCGGTCGATAACTATCCTCACCACGCGAGGATATAAGTCTATAACTAACTATGAGTCCAATTAATGATGATACTGAAATAAGAGTTAATTACCTCATTACTTATAGAAAAATACAAAGGTTTAATAAGGGTTGAAAATTATAAGAATCAAAAATCATGAGTGAAAAAAGATAAAAAGAAATTAGTATGACGTTTAGGCAGCAAAAACAATTTCATGTTCACTGATTTTTTGGAGCCTCATCTGGTGGATACATTAAATTGAATTTTAAGTAGATCAAGGACAAACAATTTTTAAAGAAATATCAAGTATTTTTCGAAGATTCCCTAGCGACGCAATCTTAAACAATTAAAAATAATAGATAAAAATCTTAAACAAATAAAAATAGTAACCTTAAACTAATTTAGGCGTTCCAACCTAAGACCAATTGATGCATAAGTCTTTTCTGCAATTTTTTAACTTTAAAATTACGCCAACCCTAACATCTAAAATATATATAATATAATTTTAACATATACTTGAAGTTTTTACTCTCTTATAGAAAATCCAAATAATTTTGAAACCTTGAGTACTAAAGAATCTATATGATCTTTATTAAGTCTAAGTTTACTGTTAAAGACCATACTATAAAAGTCTTTTATATTGTGGAGCTCCAAAGATTTAAATTACATACATTAGTGATAACAAATAAAACTTTAATAGGCTATAACCCACCCGCGGTTGTGCCTCACATGATGATGACGCAATTCAAAAAAGACATTTAAAATCACAGTGAAAGTTCCCACTCGACCCGCAACTTACGTTTCGGGCCAAAAGAACGGGAAAAACGTATCCAAAATGGCAGCCACGCGACAGCGGCGCCGACTCTATTTACACGCTGCGTATGACAAACACATCAAGTCACAGTGCGTGTAAACGGGGGCACCGACAACGCTGAATAAATAACCCGACACTTGTTCGTAAATAAACAATTTAAAATGTCAAGAATAGGGAAAGGGCACGGGCAACCCTTTTCCTCGTCTGACGTTGAGCTCTGTCGCTTTCACCGTTGTTTGCGCTTACAACACCTTTGTTTTTAATTAAACCTTTAGTGTAGACTGCAAGAAAGCGACATGTATCGAAAGAAAACGACGTCACATAAACAAGTTGCACAAAAATAAGTTGCATTTTCTTGCAACGATAATAACTAACGCAAGCACAAATAATTCAATGAAAGACAAAACCCGAGTACATAAAAAGTACTAATCATTTTTTTGTCGACACCTCATATGTCTAAATCCGTACGGTTTAGGCTGTAGAGCGTGCCGAAGAATGAGACATACGAACATACGATCGGAAAACGTTACCCTCCTTCAGTTATCAGGAACAGGAAAAATATGAAGTAATCGAAAAGGGTCTTAAAAACAACAGGGTGGCTCAAAAAGTGTTCGGAATAATTATCCTATTATTTATAATCTTTATAACTTTATAATTTTAATCCCGAATGCATTCGTACAATATCAATTGTACGAATGTCCCTGGTTAGCAAAAGCGGTTATGAAAAGCAGTGGTGGACTGGTTGATTTGCGTTTGACGAACGTTATATTGTATTATGGAATTAAAA